TTTATGTGGTTGCCTGTGGAAAGAAAGATGGGTCTAAAAAAATGAATCTTGCTTTTACTCTATATCCTTTGAAGTTTTTGAATTAGCTTTTAGACTGTGCATAAAGACCATTACAAACAAAAAATCAAAGACTAAAATTCAAAGCAAATATCATAATAGTAAATATCCTATACATAGGATAACTGAGAGAATTCTTACCTTTCTCTGCAAAATTTAAGTGAATGTAGTATGGCAGGCCTCTTTTGACGTAAATTCCATAAGTGTAAGGTGTCATCAGCCAAGGCACTCACAAGAGCTCCCTTAAAAATCAAGTATAACATATTTCATACACAATATACAAACATTAAGTCTACTCAATAGTTGCCAGAAGTATTTCCTTCCCAAATTCCAAAACTTTCTGCCAGTAGATATAGATCTAAGAAACACTTGCCTCACTTAGATTCAAAACAGCAGATGTAAAAAGTGTATGTGTATTACATGTATGTAAACATGTTAGCTTCTTCAATAATTTAAAGTATAATTTAGTATCTCATAAGCCAAAAGTATACTAGGATCTAGTGGAATAGTATGGTTAAGATCTAGTTATTTAAAATTAGAGGTCAGACTGTAAATTACTTGGTAACTATTATACATACTTCCTTGATTCACAGAACAAAATATGATATGAATAACCCCCTCATTTCATTTGGCTTAAGACCAATCCTTATGAAAGTACTATACCTAGACCATAATTCGACTACTAGAACAGTATGGAAAATAAAGATAGCATTTGGCACACTGTAACTTCCATGTCTGAAGGTTTCAAAATCTGACTAATTTAGAATGTTAAATGTCTGATACCACTAAATATTATTATTTATAGGGAAGAAAAGGCCTGGCAGTACTTGAGAATCATTTAAGTGGCTCATTCTCACCCAAACCGAACAAATCAGAATATCCAGAGTGCAATAGTTTAGATGTGGTTTGCAATGCCAAAACTCACCATGTTGAAATTTAATTGCCAATGAAGTGGTGTTAAAAGGTGGTAAATGATCCCTCACTTGGTTCATAAGGGATCTGCCTCCATGAAGAGTTTAATGCAGTCTCCGGGGAGGGAGGGAGTTTTCTTCCTCACAGGACTGGATTCTTATGCTAGTGGTTGTTATAAAGTGAGGCTGACCTCTTTGCTCTCTTGGCTTGCACCAGGTTCCCTTTCTGCTTCTCTACCATGTTATGATGCAGCATGAGGCCCTCACCAGAAGTCAGCCAGATGCAGCTGCTCAATCTTGGACTTGCCAGCCTCCAGAATCAAAAGTTATATAAACTTTCCTTATAAATTACCCAGACTCAGGTATTCAGTTGTAGCAAGAGAAAATGGCCTAAGATATAGAACAAAGACCTATGCAAGCATATTTTGAAAAACCTCCAGAGATGACTGATATAAAATTATGAATGTGATGTGATGATTCTGAATAAAATTATGACTCTCTAGACTAATCTATTACGATGTCTAAATGTTTTTCCTCAAAGGAGCTAGAAATCTATCATCAACACTGAGAGAAGACTAAGACCAGAGATGTAACATGCAGAATTTACATTAATTTCAAAACCGATTAGCAAGACCAATCTTTTTGGTTATTGTAAGAAATCTTAGTCACACCCTTTCAAAATAAGAGTTTCTCATCTACTCAGAATAATTAAAGCAGCTGTCAGGACAAGATTTATATTAAATTATCTCTCCAACTCCTTTTCACCTTCAAAATTCTATGAGGGCTACCCTAGTGTGTAACTTCTGTTGCCAGGACATGACAACTGGAATGCAGAAACACATAAAGTTCACACTCCCTCCATTTCACCAGAAAGCATCCTCTTACCTACATCACTTTGAAGTAGAGAAACTCAAAGGATTTAGTGTATCAAAGATTTGTACTGTTATTTCTTATTTACATCATATATCAGGCCACGCCATCTTCTTTCTTAATATGTTTGCCACATCTTACAATCTCAAGGAAGAAGAGAAGACAAAAAGCCAAAATGGCAGTAACAGCTAACCTCCTCTTATGGTGGCTCCTTCACCTACACACTACATAGTTTTCTAAATCTGAAAGCAAACAGGTAGACCTAATTGTCAGATTTCCACTTTTTAACACAATAAAACTATCTTTATGTATTTATAATTTAACATTCAAGCAGGTTAAAAAAAAAAAAAAAAAAAAAAGGCCATCCCAAAGAAGTCTATGATCAATCTTACTGAAGAGAAAAAGAATACTTAATACAAATGTAAACAGTATAAATTTAATATTTCTAATATTTAGGTGTACAGTAATTGATTTGCTGTATTTTATTAACATCAGTTCAAGTGCTGCTTTAAAAAACAATTTTAACGGAAGTATAAAAATGAAGAAGAGGCCAGGCACGGTGGCTCACGCCTGTAATCCCAGCACTTTGGGAGGCCAAGGCTGACAGATCAATAAGTCAGGAGTTTGAGATCAGCATGGCCAAGATAGTGAAACCCCCTCTCTACTGAAAATACAAAAATTAGCTGGGTGTGGTAGCACGCGCCTGTAGTCCCAGCTACTCAGGAGGCTGAGCTAGGAAAAATTGCTAGAACCCGGGAGGCGGAGGTTGTAGTAAGTCTAGACCATGCCATTGTGCTCCAGCCTGGGTGACAGAGTGACACTCCATCTCAAAAAAATAATAATAACAAATAAATAAAGAAGAACATGTTACTAGATGCCAGGGAGTGAGGGTGAGCAGGAGTTCAATTACAAAGGGACTCCCTTAGTGCTGAGGGTACCTTTTTATTTCTGAGGGAATTCCTTCCCTTAGAGTTGAGGGAACTGACCTATATCTTGATGTGGTAGTGTTGCATGAACCTGCACATGTGATAAAACTGAACTACACACACAAACACACAAGTAAGTGCACATACGAACTGAAAAATCTAAATAAAGGTCTATAGTTAGTAGTATTGTTTTGTTGTCATTTTTCTGGTTTGCTATAGTAGTATTGTTATATAAAATGTTACTACTGGGAGAAGCTAAAAGAACGGTACACAAGCACTCTCTGAAACTATTTTTAAACTTAACTGTGAGTATAATTATTCCATGATAAAACATTCTTTAAAAGAGGAAAAATAATCTGAGTCCTCATATATGGGTTCAACAACTTTCCACATTTTAATTTTTTAAAAATTCTAACATTAGGAGAAATATCTAATGTAGATGACGGGGGGATGGATACAGCAAACCACCATGGCATGCGTATACCTATGTAACAAATCTGGACATTCTTCACATGTAACCCAGAACTTAAAGCATAATAAAGAAATAAAATAAAAAACCGAATATTCGGGTATAAAACCTAGAAGCAAGCTATCTGTGAAACTGCTTTGGGATATGTGCATTCATCTCAGAGAGCTGAACCTATGTTTTGATTCAGCAGTTTAGAAACACTCTTTGTGTAGAATCTAGAAAGTGACATTTCACAGTGTACTGAGGCCCAAGGTGAAAAACTAAATAACGGGCAATAAAACCCTAAAGGAAGCTATCTGTGAAACCGCTTTGCAATATGTGCATTCATCTCAGAGACGAACCTATGTTTTGATGCAGTAGTTTAGAAACACTCTTTGTGTAGAATCTAGAAAAGGATATTTCAGAGTCCACTGTGGCCTATAGTGAAAAAAAGAATTATCGGACTATAAAGCATAGAAGTACACTATCTGTGGAACTGTTCCACGGTATGTGCATTCATCTAAGAGAGTTAAACCTTTGTTTTGATTCAGCAGTTTAGAAACATTGGTTGTGTGGAGTCTAGAAAGTGGAAAATAAAAATATCAAAAAAAATTTTTTATACTTTTAAAATGCCTCATTCTATACAGAATACTGAAGTTTTTAAAAACACATCTTCTGACCTTGAAAAATCTAGACAATTGCAAATTATTTTGATTACAGCTTTATGGAGGTTTTTACATTGTCATAATTATCTGTTTATACCCATGATGCCTTTCTTAAATCCTCTGGTGTGAAGAGAACGTTTATCAAAAGCCAGAGGTATTCAGAAATTTATTTTCTCTCATATACATTTAAGAAATTATTCCACAGAGCCTAAAGATTTAGGGTCTAAAATAATGTCCACAATCTGTCCTCATATCTAAGGAGATCAGAGCCTTTTCTGAAGCAATTTCTCTTTCTTCCTTTTAATAACCAGCTTTCCCACTCTATCACTACTTGTAGTAAACATCTATTCTCAGAGCTGCTCATATATTCTCAAAATATGTAAGAACAATGTTTCCTATGCTGATAAAATGATGTTTTCTCCAGCTCCTTCTATACTTTCTAATAGGAAGGTGACATCAATTACTTAAACCAATTAAGTGACATAATTGGGTGTTATTTAAGAACTCTGGCCAGTAACCATTTTCTAATGAATGAATGTTGGTTTCTTGGTTGTATTCCAAAGCAATTCGTTAAAGAAGCACATTCTTTGATTTATCATAAGCTCAATCTTAAAAAAATATTTTAATATAGATTTCTATATTACACAGTATTCAATATCCCTTAACATTTAAATGCAGCACCTTTTACCAAAAACATTTACCTTAGGCCATTCAATTTACAGCACTGTGTAGAGAAAACATTTTACATTATTTATCTAACTGGCCATGATGTTCACTTAAAATGAATTACTATTTCTCACCCATAAGAAATTAATTTTTGTTCAACTATTTAAATAAAATGTGAATGTATAAAAGAAATCTGAGAGACTAGATGTGGCCCTATTTTAGATATAAGTAGAAATGATTAAAACAATTCACTCACCTCATTGATCAGGAACTGGAGCTGGATTACTGCAGCTCCACTGTCATGCTGGCAGTAACATTCTACTCCTGGACGACCAAAGCTGTAATCAATTCCATTAAGGAGTTTAAGGTATTTGTCAGATTTTTTTGAAACTGATTAAGTTATGTAATAGGCTGATCAATATTCCAATGACCTCATATTCAATACAGGCTATTTACTAAAGCTGAGATTTAGAGTTAGTTTTGTTACGTATCAATCGAATCAGTTTCTGTTGAGAAGTCTCAAAGATTACAGTTTTAAACAAAATAATTAGGAAAATGAATTATTAAAATCAGCAACGTATCAAAACAAGATAATATATAGGTAATACACTTTATGCTGGCCCAAATTATTTTCTTCAGCTTAAAATAACAGAAAGAAGAAAAAAGGTGGTTGGATCTATAGAATATCCAATTTTGCTGAAGTCAGCAAACAAATCTGAAAAGGAGTCAAATGTCATTTTGGAATGTTGCTTTTAGAAACAGTAATCTTTTCACTGTCAATTTTTTCATTTCCGCAGTGTAATTTTTAACTAAGACTAAAAATATAATGAAGAACAACATAACTATGTTTCTAGTTGAAACATGATATTGTATCACCAATGAATCTACCAATCTTTCAAATAGGCATGGATAACTGACTAAAATGAATTGGCATACAATAACAACAGCAAATATTCATATAACATTTTCTATGTGTTAGGCATTATTATTAAAATGTTATTTATATCAACTCACTTAATCCTCATAACTCATGAAGAATACGTTATTTTTCTCCATTTAAACAGATAAGGAAGCTGAAGAAATTATGTAACCTGTCCCAAGTCACACAACCAGTAGTAAAAACAGAATATGAGTAAGCATTCTGGCTCCAGAGTCCACACCCTAAATTTAAAAAGTATGCTGAATAAAAACATCAAAACAGAACCAAAAAAACCCAAAACAAAACTACATTTGTAGAACTCACTATGTGCCAGGCACCGTTATACACATTTTACCTTCATAAGCTTGAAATAAGAAGGTAGCAATTTTACCCTGCTGCTAAACTAATCTCATTTTACCAGCTGTTAAATATTACCCTAAAGTAAAAAGCAAAATGTAAAAATAAAATTTGTTGAGATTCAATAAAACTTATAGTTGCCAGTATATAAATTCAAATTCAGGTATAGACTGTTTCTATATTCTATTAATACATACCACAAAGCTACTAATGAAAAAATTGTGCCATAGGTTTAATTCCTATTTGCCATGATTTTTTCCTTTGGATTTCTAGGAATTTTCTAGACGGTACTCATTTTCAAGAGTTTTTTTCTATTTATTACTACCAATTAATTATATATTTTATAAATTAACAGGCTGAGCATATTTAGCTCATAGTACCCTATTCTTTAAACACCCAGAATTACTGGTGGTACTAGCAGCAGTAGCAGCAGCAGTATTAGTAGCAGCAGTAGTAGTATTTTTGCTATTCCAGTTGCTCAAATACAACTGCAGGAAACTAGATTTCAATTAACAGTATTTTCAGTATGCAAATCACACTGACAGGTCATAAAAAAGGAAAATCTATATCTCTGTTCACCCTCCTTTTTCAGATGACAGCATAGACCCTGCCCTTTTACCCAGTATAGTGAGTCTGATACTAATCTCTTCAGCTAAATTATTCTTTCTGGCACCAATTAGCGTATTTTATAATTCCCATTTTACATGAATGTAAATCCTCTCTTTTGAGACTAGATCAGGATCAATGAGTAAGTTCATTTTTTAAATGAGTTACTGTAGAAAATCAAACATTATACTTTACATATTATCACAAAACATATATAATATTGTCAATCTTTTGATATTAACCAAAGACATTTTCTTTGAGTATGAATTTATTAACTAAAAATCAGGGCTGTTTTTCTTGAATAAAACATAACCATAACTACCCAGGTATAAGATTTCCAGTTAAACTTTTTTTTTTTTTTTTTTGAGACAGAGTCTCGCTCTGTCAGCAGGCTGGAGATTAGTGGCATCATCTCAGCTCACTGCAATCTTCGCCTCCCAGGTTCAAGCACTCCCCTGCCTCAACCTCCCGAGTAGCTGGGAGTACAGATGCACACCACCACGTCCAGCTAATTTTTTGTATTTTAGTAGACAAGGGGTTTCAACATGTTGGCCAGGATGGTCTCCATCTCCTGACCTCATGATCTGCCCACCGTGGCCTCCCAAAGTGCTGGGATAACATGTGTGAGCCACCACGCCCAGCCTAACTTCTTAAATGGAACTTTAAAGATAATATCAACCAATATGAGTGCAGGGTTCATATACAGTCTTATTATTTCTTTTCCAGTCATTTATAGGTATACACACCAAATTGGGAGGGAAATTTTAAATGACTGACCTTCATGAAGTGTTTCGAAAGCATTCATCTTAGATGTTCATTTTAAAATGTCTCTTTTGACATTTGTATTTCATTATATTATAGAATATTATGGTGATTTACTTGATTAGAATATCTAATAGACACAAACAGATTGGGAATACAGAATACCTGATTCTTGGTAAGATTAAGCAACAGGTTAATTTGAGCCTTCTAAGAAATAGCTTACTGGTCTTGAAATTTCAAATTGCCATGGGCGTCAATGTTTTATCCAAAGAGAATAAAAAATGTCTATAAATAAAGGAAGTCAGTTATACAGAGGTCAACAGAGGTTTTACTCTTAGGCTATGCATGAAACTACTCTAAACAAAAGTGTACTTTTAAACGATATGATATAGTTCCTTAACTTCTAGCTAACATGATAAAAACAACTTCTTAATAAACAGTAAGAACCACTTACTAAGTTACTACTAAGTGGTTAGGCACTGTGCCTTAAATATATAATTGCACTTAATCATCACAGTAACTCTGAAAGACAGTTATTATTCATATTTTATGGGCAATATTTCTAAGGCTCAGACAAACGGTTTTTCTCAAAGTTACGGATTTCATTCTCTTTTCCTGTAAATAAGGCAGTAGTATACAGCTGCAGCTAGTCCCAAAGTGTCCTACCACCAAACTGCCCTATGGATTGGAAGAAAAATTAATAAGTTATTACTTCATCATAACAAAAAATTTTAAACTAAGTTTTAAAAACAGATACTGCCTACATGTAATCCTGAGACAGTAACATAGAAAGAGCACAAATTTCACAGCAAGTATTTCTCTATCCTGGTAGTGGGTCAGAATTCTGGCTCTACTGCAAACTTGCTACACCCAAATTTCCAGAGGAGATGCCTGGGTAGATTGCTTGTTCATTTATTATTTATTTACTTATTGTGCCACAGGGACCATCTGAGGTACAATGAGACTTGAAGACCTCTACTCTCAAATTAGTTCATATGTCAGCTCTGCCATTAGATGCTGTGATCTGGAGAGCATTATTACAGGTATTAACTAACGAATCTATAAATGCATATAAGACCTATCTAGACTAGCTTGCAGCACTGTAATGAAGATTAAACTACATAGAGTGCACTTACCAAAGGGTATCCATTATAATTATTTAAGACAATGTATTATTCACTATGTTGGCTAGAACTAAATGTTCCCTGACATCCTGACATTGGACATACCATCATAACACAACAAAATGTCAACATTGAATTTATTAGATCACAAAACATTTATACCCTTTCACATCTATATTACTCCTTGCACACATGGTTCTTCCTCATACTGACATTACTAAGTTAATATTTTTACTAGAAAATAGTCAAACATTGTAAATGAAGATCTGAGTTGACATTTTTATTAGAAAATAGTCAAACACTGTAAATGAAGATCTGCTTGGTAAGTGATTTCCATTTACTATGGCTATGTTCACAATTAAATGATAAAATTAAACATTTGAAACTAAAATAAAGAAAAACCAAAGGAAAATTATGCACTGAACATTCCTGCAAATTTATTAAGGAAATATTTACTATTCTAATATTTGTTCTTTTACATATGTATGAATCAATTATAAGGGAAAGGTAAATTTCTTCTGTCGTGATATCTTAGCTTGTAATTCTAAACTTCAATGTATTCTTCTGAAGATGATACAATTTCCTATCTCAGATACCTTTCTGCTCTCAATTTTTCTACTGCTTGCCTAACAAGAGCTATGATATCTGCCCTAATCCCACTAGTAATTCCTGTTTTTAAAGGAAACCAGTTAATTTATCTGACCCATGATACATGTCAGATAATTCCTGCACAGCTAGACTCATGGTCCAGTTCCAGAGAAGCACCATTGTCACTGGAGTATTTATAAAGAGAAGATGCAGAGGCAAAGTTAAAAGAGATTGGGAGCACAGTCTTTGAACAAAAGGCTGTGTAATTTAGACATGACTCTCTCTGCAAGCAATAGGAAAAAAAGAAATAATTACAGAAAAAAATAACACGACAAAACTAGCAATTAATGAAGAATAAGCAGGAAGAGGTATATAGGACACATGAGCAGGAACAAATGCCAGAACCAGTAAAACCTTTTATTTACAGTAGCATATATCAAATTCAAAACGAGCATTAATCTAACTGCTGAAATGGCTTTTTCTAGTTGAATGGTTGAGAAGGGAGGAATAAATGGGAATTGGGAGGCCTTTAAGCATATCATCATCATCATCAGTAGCAGCAGCATCACTAAAGCTGAGATTTACTGAATACTTAAAACGTGTCAAGTACAATATTTTCACAAATAAGGAAACTCAGGCACAAGTTTAAGCAACTTGCCCAAGGCCACTCACCTATTAGTAAAGAAGCTGAGATATGAACCAAGGCAGTCTAATTCCAGAAACCACAGTATAAATCACCAACCCTTATAGCACACACGTAAATACACACACAAACACACCCCAAAGTATATTAACAGCCAATTTTCACATGTAAATGTTATTTCCTGTTTTATTGTATGTTATCTTAAAGCTGGAAAAAGTACACAGAAAAAACATATGTATAATCAATATTTCACAACTGAGCGAAGCCAGATTGGTCTAATGATATAAAACTAGACCAAATGTAACTTGTAGTAAGTGAACATCATACACGAATTAGATA